TCTGTCCTTTTCAAAATTATCCTAAAAATCAACATGACAGCATGTTGATCTTGAAATCTAGAATGTGAACAAGTAGACAGGAAGAGCTGTGACTGTATCTATCAACCATTTATTAAGGATGCTTTATAAATCTTAGGATTGCTTTTGATTTTGAATCTTCAAAAGGACTTGAGTTTTAAAGACTTGAGGTTTAGAATTAGAATTAATTTGAACAGCCTTATCATAGGGAAATGAAGCAATTTTGAAATAGCTTTTCGAAAATAGGTTGAGGATCCTAAATTAGGTACCACTAATCTGATCATATTTTTAGGAAACTGAAACACAAAAAAGTAAAATTTCTCCCGGTGTTACAGAGCTTATGGCAGAAATGGACTTAGAATTCAGGTCGTCTTACTGCTAGCCCCGTATCACCCCCTGTACCTCAGTGCCTTTCTCCTTCCCATATAGCTCTTAATGCTGTCTTTACATACATGCCTTTTCTCCATTGGTATTAAATAATTTATATTACAAAAACAACAAAAAAACATTTTTCTACAGAGGACTTTAATAATCACCAAAAAATGTGATGGTTGAGAGGTTTTGGTTTGATTTTTGTTTTCCATGTTCATGTTAAGACTTTTTTTTTTTTTTTTTTTTTTTNAGGCAGAATTACTCCCCAAACTCACCCCATAGTCATCCTGGTTTTTCATGTCCTTGAGAAATCATCTTACAAACCCCCATAGTGAGGTAGTCCACATGTATTCCTACTAGCAGAAGAAGGGAAGAAGGATATTCCCTAGAAACTGTCTTCTCAGTCACCCAGGTATAGGAGAACCAGCTTGGAGAGCACGTGTCTCCTTCAGCTTATTGGGTCTTCGGAAAAGTCATAACGCATGTTTGCAAGAGATGACACTTTTCATTTTTGGAAGTACTGGAGTCATTTGCATCTGTGTTATTGCTATGTCATTTGACAGCTGATAGATCTAGCTTCATTCTAAAAAAATTGAGCGATTTGGTTGAGTTTTGGAGATTTTACAACAAGTTGAAGATGGAAGACCAAACTGCATTTTCGCCATATTTTACTGTTTTACTTCCATAAAGGGAAGAATGTGCATCAAGCTTGTGAAAAGTTGCATAAAGTTTATGGTGACAATGCTCTACAACGTCAGTGCCAGCGATGCTTCATGAAATTTCATGCTGGTAATTTTGATCTCAACAACGCTCCTTGGTCAGGGAGGCCCACTGAGTTTGATGACGACGAAATAAAGGCATTGATCGAGTCAAGCGCATGTTACACAACACGAGAGATTGCAGAAACTTTGAACATCCATAATTCAAGCGTTCACGACCACCTGAAGAAGCTGGGATATGTAAGCAAGCTCGATATTTGGGTTCTGCATGAACTCAAAGAAGTTCATTTGACAGTACGTATAAACATCTGCAATATGCTCATTAAACGTGAGGAAAACGATCCTTTTTTGAAGCAACTGCTAACTGGTGATGAGAAGTGTATTGTTTACAACAATGTGGTGCGCAAATGGTCTTGGTCCTGACGTGATGATTCGCCTCAAATGACATGGAAAGCAGACATTCATCAGAAGAAGGTTATGCTGTCAGTGGTGGGATTTTAAAGGTGTCATGTTTTTTGAGCTCCTACCAAGGAACCAAACAATTCAAATTTGTACTGTTGGCAATTGGACAGTTTGGGTTTGTTCAGAGTTTGTTAATTGTAAAGGAGTTGTGTTCCATCGCAACAACGTGAGACCACACATAAGTTTGATCACATGTCAAAAATCATTAGAGCTTGGATGGGATGTGTTGTCAAACCCCACATACTCACCTGACCTTGCACCATCAGATTTCCACTTGTTTCGTTCTCTTCAAAACTCATTGCATGGTATAACGTTCAATTCAGATGAGGCTGTAAATCAGCATCTTGTTCAGTTTTTCACCAGTAAAACAGGTCCTTCTATGAACGAGGAATTATGAAGTTCACTGAAAGATGGCAAAAGGTTATCGAACAAAACGGGCATTGATTGATCTTTGTTTTTTATATAAATATATGACCTTTGAAAAACAGACAAAATATGTCACGACTTTTCCAAAGACCCAATACAAAGATACCACACATTTGTTGAGCCTAATCCTCTCTCCCTTATAATGTTAAAGCCACCCAGGGACCAAAACATCACCAGCTACCCTCCACAGAAGTTCCTACTTCACCTCGAATGTGCGGGGCATCGCTCCAGTACTCCCCTGCAGTTTAAGGAGTGCTGTCAGGTCCCACTAGACACCCACGACCAGGTCCCTGACCACCCACGTCACGGGGCCTCACTGACCACATCTTGCTGATCAAGGTTCATTGTTGCTCTTTAATGGTTGGTAGAAAGCAGTGGTTTCTAATCCTTCAAGAAAATCTACTTTTAACACGTATGGTCAGTAATGACCCCAAGGGATAGAGACTTAGATCTCTCATGTCAGAAAACAACCCCCAATTATTCATAGGAATGTTGTAAGGATGGTATAAGCTGTTACATCCAAAACTCGTAGAACAATGCCTAGCCAGAGTAAGTGTAATTTATTTGCTATAATTAGCATCAATTATGGAAACAATAACATGTTGATTTATTATAGGATAGTTATAGAGTGATAGGAAACCCTATTACATTTGGGGAGAATTGTATTAAGTTTAATTTTGAATTTGGTAAAAGAGAAACAATTATTTAACCAAAAGGCCATTCCATGTGAGAGAGTAGGAAGCTGAGGATAACACTGGGTCTTCTCTAATCGTCCCTATGGCATTTATTACTTTTCTTCAGCAACCTTTACATCTGTATTTGAAAGAAAAATATTTGAGGAAAAGAATTGGAAAGTTTTAATTTTTTTTCAAAAGTACAAGGAAATAATTGTTTTATATGAATATGTGAGGTAAAGACTCATCGTGTCACAATCCGAACTAAATTCTTTTTCAAGTAAGATAGCCATGATCAAGTATTGCACAAAGATGTTTCATTCAAATTTGTATCTAACTATAAAACGTTATAAAATCTATGAGGTAATAAGTTTATTAAAATAATGTATTAAAAAAGATAATGACTTACATGGCAAAAGAATTTCTGGATACTGATGTGATGGATGGACCCAGAGAAAACAAGGACCCTGAGATTTCCATCTTGAATAATTGGACAGATTTTGGGATTATTAACAAAAATAGGATATCAGGAGAAAGGGGGAATTTTCAGAAGAATGATAATGATGTTTGTTTTAGATAGCAATTCTCAGAGTCACGAGTGGAGTGGCAGGGGCATATTAAAATACCAGGATGAGGAAGTATTAGCATTAAAAGTCCTCTTTTGCATGAAGTGAGTTTGAGGTTCATGGAATAGCCAGAAGGTGACTAGCAATAAAGTAGCAATGCAGACTGTTACTATTTCTGAGCATACTACTGTGTGCTAGACTGAGATAGGTACGTGGATGCATTGTCTTACCTAGACTCAGCGAAGAGCTGACATTACTACCCAATTACTGTTAGGAAATTGATTTCAGAGGGTTTAGGTCATTTGGATTTAAACATAGGTTTCACACCAAAATCCCAGTTCCTATTCCTGACTGCCTGTGAATTATGCAGTTTTTCACACTATGTCCTTGTACTTTTATAAGAAAAAGAGGCATC